TCAGACTTTAGGGCCATGGCGATGCCCAGTGGCCTCTCTGACTAACAGACGGGACCCTGTAGCCTCTGGATGGCCGACTTGTCCGTGAGCCATGGCAGCAACAGCAAGTCTGGTCCAGGGAGCCGATAAGCTAACCCTGGGCCAGAACGGAGGCCTCACGGCTACCCATGCCGTTGAAACGCTGCTACACGGCGCCACTGGCAATTGGATGTCAAATACCCGAATGCTGCACGATCAGAGCTTACTGTTAGACCATCCTCGTTTAACTTTCTCCCCCACAAGCTGTTTAAATCCAGCTACTCTACTCCCTGATCCAGACTTCACCAACCCTGTCCATGATTGCCAAGAACTGCTTGAGACTATGGAAACTGGCCAATCTAAACTGGAGGATGTTCCTCTGAAAGAGGCGGACGCCACTGTGCTTACGGACGGTAGCAGTTTCCTCGAGCAAGGAGTGCGAAAAGGCTGGTGCGGCCGTCACCACGGAGACAGGTGTACTATGGGCCCTGCCTCTGCCAGCCAAAAGTACCTCTGCACAAAAGGCTGAATTAGTGTCCCTCACCCAAGCTCTCCGACGGGGTAAGGACAAGTGTATTAATATGTACACTGACAGCCGATATGCTTTTGCTACAGTACATGTGCACGGAGCCACCTATCGAGAGTGTGGACTACGCACCTCAGCTGGAAAATCTATCAAAACAAGGAAGAAATTCTAGCCCTGCTCGAGGCTGTTTGGCTCCCCCAGCAGGTGGCTGTAATTCATTGCAAAAGGCACCAGAAAGAGAACACGGCCGTTGCCCGGGGAAACCAAAAGGCAGATTCAGCAGCTGGCGAAGCTGCTGCACTCCCGGTTACCCCATTAACTCTGCTTCCAGCCGTCTCTTTCCCACAGCCTGATCTACCCGACCACCCCACGTACTCCTCTGAGGAAGAAAAGCAAGCATCGGATCTTCAGGCCAGTAAGAACCAAGATGGTGGGTGGTTCCTCCCAGATGCCAGAATGTTCCTGCCCTGAGCCCTGGGAGAAGCTTTAGTCAGCCGCCTCCACTCTTCCACCCACCTGGAAGGTACAAAGTTGGCCCAGCTTTTAAGAAGCCATTTTGAAATTCCTCACCTGCAGGACTTGACTAGCCAAGTGGCTTCCCGCTACACGGCTTGTGCACAGATGAACGCCAAAGAAGATCCAAAGCCTGAATTGGGCCATCGTCTCCGAGGATGTAGCCCAGGAGAGAGGTGGGAAATAGACTTCACAGAGGTACAGCCGCATTGGGCGGGATATAAATACCTTCTAGTAATAGCCATGTAATGGTAGTAATGGTAGACACTTTTTATGGATGGACTGAGGCATCTGCCACTAAAAACGAGACTGCCTTCACAGCAGTAAAATTCTTACCCCATGAAATTATCCCTCGACATGGACTGCCATTTCCCATAGGGTCTGATACCGGGCCAGTCTTCACCTCGTCCATAGTTCAATCAGTCAGCAAGGCATTAAATATCCAATGGAAACTCCATTGTGCCTACCGACCCCAGAGCTCTGGACAGGTAGAACGCATGCACTGTACCTTAAAAAGTACTCTTACAAAATTAATCCTGGAGACCGCTCAAAATTGGACAAAGCTCCCCCCGACACACCCTCCCCACCCACCCCTACCCCCCCGCCCTGCCATTAGCCCTTCTTAGAGTTAGATGTGTCCCTTACAAGGCGGGGATCTCTCCGTTCGAAATCATGTATGGGAGGGTCCCACCAATCTTACCTAAAAAGAGGGACACTCATTTAGCAGAAATATACCAAGCTAATTTGTTACAGTACCTGCAGTCCCTCCAACAGGTTCAAGACATCGTCCAGCCCCTTGTTCGGGAAGCACAGCGTCATCCAGTTCCTGCCCAGACAGGGCCCTGTCACGTCTTCCAGCCTGGTGACCTGGTGTACGTCAAGAAGTTTCAAAAGGAAGGACTCACTCCTGCTTGGAAGAGACCTCAGACTGTCACCCTCACCACACCCACGGTCCCCAAAGCCGACAGCATTCCTGCTTGGATTCACCATTCTTGCGTCAAAAAGGCCAACGAAAGACATCAGGAGACATGGATGCCCAGGCTGGGGCCTGGCCCCTTACAGTTGCACCCGAGTCAGGTGAAATTCCCCAATTAATTATCATTACCCTTCTTTCTGTCTGTCTGTTCTCCCCAGTTATGCCCTTTAAGGCATAGTCCTATCTATTCTCTTCTCTTCACTGACTTCAAAAACAGAACGTGTGCTTCCCAGTACCTCCCAGGAAGCAGGTATTTCCAATCAAGTCAATCTTGACTTTGATTTATGTGCCCCGTTCCCGAATTCCTACTCTGCTAATCGAGATTTGGAAGGTATTCAATGGGGAGCGGGCGCTGCCTATCTTGCCAGTGGATTTGGACACACCGCAGGTCAAGTCAGACGTGGAGACCGAGGAAACGCTTCAGTCTGTTGACTTTTACCTGTGCCCAGGAGACCATCCCGATTCTAACCGTCAGCAGCCATTCGAATGGTTCTGCTCCTACTGATCTCCCGTAACTCTGGCTACTTATTCTGGAGGACCAACCCGGTCCTCAGCTGCCTCCGTGGCTCATTTTTCTCGCCCCAAATGGTGTAATAAGGGAGCTGGCAATCCTATTGTCTTAACTGTCCGCAACCCCGATTTAGATCATTGGTACTACGGCTACCTGTAACCAGTCTCTGCTTACTTCCCTAAACCCATCAGTCTCCTATCGGGCACCCAACAATACCTGGTTGGCCTGCACCTCAGGCCTCACCTGCTGCATCAGTGGAACTGAACCTGGACGTCTCCTGTGCGTGTTAGTTCACGTGCTTCCCCAGGTTTACGTGTACAGCGGACCAGAGGGACAACTTCTCATCGCCCCTCCTGAACCGCACCCCAGGATCTGCCGAGGTGTCCCACTCCTAGCGCCCCTTCTGGCTGGCCTGAATGCAGCTGGGTCAGCAGCAATCGGCAAAAGAGAAAGTGGAATAGTGCCCCTATCTCAACAAGTAGATGCTGATTTAAGGAATCTCCAATCAGCTATAAATATGTTACCTACCCAGGTAGAATCCCTAGCTGAAGTGGCTCTCCAAAACTGCCGAGGCTTAGATCCACTGTTCCTCTCCCAAGGAGGTTTATGTGCTGCTTTGGGAGAGAGCTGTTGTTTTTATGCTAACCAATCTGGGGTGATAAAAGACACTCTTCCAAGAGTTCGGGAAAATTTAGATAGATGCCAATAAGAGTGGAAAAATAACACCCCGGGGCACCAAGACATGTTTAACTGGAATCCATGGCTAACTGAGTTATACTCTAATAACTGAGTTATCGGGACCACTGCTCCTCCTTCTGTTGGGGTTGATCTTTGGGCCTTGTATACTAAATTGGTTCCTTAATTTTATTAAGGAAACAGCACGTAGCTTCTGTCAAGCTTATGTATCTCAGAACTCAATATAACCCCCTTGTTGTAGCTGAGGAATCAACCGTTTGATTCCCAAAAAACACGAGTGGGGAATGTGATAACCTACCCTTTGTTAGCCTAATCGATTCTCTCCTTCTTAGTTGAGAGCTGGACTGACTCCATGCTAGCTTCTTGAGCTGGACAGACTCCATGTTAGCGTCTTCAGTTGCCCACCTCCCCCCACCACTTTTTTCCTTCCCCTAAGCACATAGCTGGGGCTAAGCTGACTACAAGCAGACAATGGAGTGTCCTTAATGATAAGATACCGAGTTAAGCTGTACCAGCCTCTCCTAGGGATGTGTCTGCTGATGGTATCATCCGCCCCTCGGAATGTGCCCGCTGATAACCAGAATCCCCTACATCTGCAACTGCTTATCTTTCTGCAACAGTTTACCTTTTAATTTTTGCTCGTTCTGCTTCTGTAAAACTTGCTCGAGCTAGGCTCCCCCTTCCCTCCTTTAAGCAAGGCATAAAAAGAAACAAAGCCCCTTCCTCGGGGCCGAGAGAATTTTGCGCATGAGCCGTCTCTCGGTCACCAGCAAACGAAGGGCTCCTGATTCAATCTCAGAGTGTGGTGCTTTCTCTAACTCGCTGGGTGCAACCAAATGCCCAGTGAATCTGGGCCCAGTAAGGTCCAAGTCCCCTTCTCCCTATATATCTTAAAGCAGATTTCCAGAATCTCACCCAAATATTTGAACTCTCCTGGAAGGATATGTTACTTCTGAATCAGCCCCTGACGGACACTGCTGCTGTGCAAGCAGGAGAGATCTGGGGATGAGCTTTGCATCACACATAGCATCAGGGAATGGAGCAAATACCATCCAACTGGAAGAGAAGCACTATCCGTGAATTATCCTAAATGGGATATCAGTGATGGGACAGTAGACTGGAAGAGGAGACACTTTCAGGTGTGCGTAACGAAAGGCTTAATGTAGGACTAAGACCAAGCGTCCCAATTACACTAAGGTGTCCACGACTGACCAGAGATTTGATGAAAATCTCACTACCTTCTTGGAAAAGCTGAGAGGTCTTGGTCAAGCACACCTCTCTATCACCTGATTCAATTGAGAGACAACTAATCCTAAAGGAGAAATTTATAACTCAGGAAGCCCCTGATTTTAGGAGGAGGTAGAAGAAACGGTCCCCGGGGCCAGATAGTACATTAGAGGACCTCCTAAAAGTGGCAACCCCAGCCTTTTACAATAGAGAAATGGAGACCCAAGAAAGAGGCACAAGCTTTAATGACCGCCAGGTAAGTCCACAAACACCAGAATTTCCAGGCAGGGCACACCTGTTGACTGCTAAAAATACGGCTACAACAGGTACCCCTCTTCTAAAGTTTTAAGTGATCGCATTCAAGATTTAATTTCTTTCACCAATGCAAAACAGCTCGGGATACAATGGTTTTGTTCGTGTATTTCACTTCTTATCTCAGTATCTTTGGCACTAAATTTTTCCTTGTAGGGAATACGCATTTAAACCATGCATACGTGACCTTATAAAACTTGTTTTGTTTTTCTCTCACACAGAGCCCATCAAACTCCAAACAGGCAGGCAACCAGAACCTCAAGACAATGGTTCCCCCTTGCTAAGAACCCCTAATTCAATAGAGCTCCAGAAGGAATCTGTCTGCCATTTTCCCAGAAACAATGCCCCCTGTCAGAAGGAAGCAGCTAAGACTGGTTGTCTCCATATTTTGATGGCAGTTAGATAGGGGGGTACCTCTTCAGAGGAGAAAAATGATACGAGAAGAGGGCAGGGAAGTGCTGGGTAGAGAAGGGCAGGGTCCCTGGCGAGGGCTCCACCCTCGTGCCCGTGGACCTAGGTGAGAAGAGGCACTCATGTTTTCACGCCGAAATCTTGCATTTTCCTAGACCACCCTGGCCTGCCACAACCGTCACCCTGTGCCTATAGAAACCCCGAGATCATAGTGGGCACACACACAAACAGCAGGACATCAAGAGGGACACACTGGCAGAACACACAGATGGCGACAGACCATTGACAGTGGAATGGTGTCGATGCCGAGGAAAATTCAGTAGAGGGTGGGTGGCCAAAGGAGAGAGCCCAGTCACCGAGCAGCCCGACTGCAGGGAAGACCAACTTCCTACTCCATCCCCTTTCTGGATCCCCATCTATCTACTGAGAGCTACCTCCACCACTCAGTAAAACCTTGCATTCATTCTCCAAGCACATGCATCATCTCTGATCTGATTTTTCGGTGCACTAGGGCAAGAACCTGGGATCCACACAGTCCTCTGTCCTTGCCATAAGGCAGAGGGGCTAACTGGACTGATTGATTGGCTAGACAAGCTGCCTGCAGACAGCAAAACCTAGAGAACACACTCCAGCACAGCTCCAAGAGCTGTACACACTCAATCCTAGACACTGCCATGGGGTCACAGCCCATACTCCCCACGAACTGCCTGTCTGCATGCTCCCCCTAGGGGCTGGACCATGTGGGGCACTGAAGAAGTGACCCACTCCCCTGTCACACGTCCTGTGAGGGGTGAACGGAAACTTCTGTTTCAAATATATAGTATCTCATTATAGAAATCTATGCATTCCCCTTGCGGCTATTAAATTGAGCACCCCTGTGAATAGGCTCATCTTTGTAAAGATATTCAGTTACCGTCTTAAGGAAAAGTTTTAAAAGGGCTCATGTTTTTCATACAGAGAACTGCTACATGGCACACATCGGTACCATTTCCAGTTCACATCTGTTGTCAGGACAGGCTTGCCTAACTCTTCTCTTGCCTGCTGTAGAGATGCATCCACTTCGTTTGTCCAATAGGAATGAGACCATTGCAGCTACACTTCCCGACACGGAACTCAGATCCTAACTGATCAGTTATTCTCTGAATCCAAAGAACTCACACTCCTAGAAATGGGCATTAGACTACTGTGGTCTTCAAAGGGCAAATACACATACTTGTGTGCAAACACGTGCACATTCAGTGTATTAACCCTCAGTCCTGGAGAAGACAGACACCATGATTCAGTGAAAAATCACACCTAAAAATGGCCTGAGCAGGAGGGAAGAAAATGGGAGAACATTTCCGGGGGTAGAAAGTTAACTTGGTCACCATTTGGCTGGTTCACTACAGAATTTCCACACAGTATGTATTCCACAAGTATTATTTACTAATCTTCAAACATCAGGAGTAAATTGTTTACTGAACTATGTTACCGTCAGCCAACCTGAACTACTTGATAATTGCTAACCCAATTTTACCTACACTATCATTTTTCGGGGGACAGCAGTTCCCCAAAGTCAGATCGTTTACTAAGTATGCCTGTAATTGATAAGGACAAACTCTTCTTAACTGAATGAACCTCAACACACCTCAAGCGCATTATCGTTAGTCATCAGGATGATAAATACAAATTAAAACAGGATAATAACATGCCTACATAAATATATAGAGCGTTGAAGAAACCAAGCAACGGTGAGAACATAGAGCAACCAGAAATCTCATCTACTGTGAAAGTGTAAAATTGTATAAATACTTCTGAAAATCCGTAACATCTACTGAAAACATGCAGGAGCATTGGCATTTACTATAATCATAGGAAAACAGTTACTGCTACAAACTAGAAATCAGGTGCTATTTACACAATAGGATTCCACACAGCAGTCAGAATGTTACAATTCTAAGTAACAATCTAATTTCACCTCACAAATACAACCTTTACTGCAGGAAACCGGTCACAAAAAGGTAAGCTGCAGATTTCATTTACACAAAGGTTAAGAGTAGCCGAAAGCTTCTCTGTGCTGCTAAAAGAAAGTGCTTATCCTTCGCAGTTTGAGGTCAGTTGCAAAAAGAGGACACAAAGGGACACTGGGAGGTGGGGTGTGTGTGTGTGTGTGTGTGGACACAAAGGGACACTGGACAGTGGTGTGTGTGTGTGTGTACACGTACGTGATCCTGGCTCACTGCAACTTCCGCTTCCTGGGTTCAAGTGATTCTTCTGCCTCAGCCTCCCGGGCAGCTGGGATTACAGGCACACACCACCATGGCCAGGCTGGTCTCGAGCTCCTGACCTCGTGACACAACTGCCTCAGCCTCCCAAATTGCTGGAATTACAGGCATGAGCCACCATGCTCAGCTTCGCCTATAATGTTTAACTGGTGGTAACTGCCTGCTACAATGTGTTTAAATGGGACTGTCAGCCACCAGAAAAAAAGAAAATTTCAACAAAAGGTTTTTATCCCATCTCGGGCTATCATTAACCAGCCCCACTTAACTCTTGACCTTAAGTAGGTAACTACTTAGGGTCAGAAAGTAATTTGTTGGTCAAGTGACTTTCTACTCAAATCATTCTTAGTTCAGCCATCCTTCACATCAAAAATGCTTAAAATAACAATCACACTCATATTAAGTTGCTTAGGCCAAAATGCAATACATGCTGCACATATAGGCCTTTTAGATTTCCATCAGTCCACAATACAAATCCTGCCTCTGTACTCCAAAACTTACACCACCATCATTCATTGCAAAATGTAAGGCAAGTAAGTACTTCTAGCCTCCAGACCTATTTCTCAAACAGCTTTGGTAGTTAGCCAAGACACCAGATTTCCAATCTTCAGTTTAGGGGCACAAGTTCATCTTCAACTCAACATTAAGCTACCAGTGACAGCAGAAAACAGATTTTTAACTTTTTATCGTAGTAAAATCAGAATAACAGAGCATATGCAGTGCCAGCATCTGCAACTAATACAATAAGCAATTACTAAACTTACAGTGACTCGAGGCTCAATGCTTACATTCAGCAATTACATTCTTTACTGAAAATACTGCTGGCTGATGAAACTGAATGTAAGTCACTGATTATGGCAATACACAAAAATAACTACATGTTTGAGGACTGTACATATGCCATACAATCACTGAAAATCAAAACAAAACACATAACAAAACTCAGAGACTGTGTGTGGATGTAGACACATCATATCAGTGTTCAGATGTGTCTCATGAATATCTTAAGACAAGCGTATCAAAACCTTGGCATGTTTTGCATTCAATTTAAGACAATTTTGTCTTAAATTTTCTCAGAAAATTATAGCTACATTGTCAATGCCGGGTCTCCTTAATTTGACTCAAGTTCAATAGAACTTAACACTGAAAGCTCACACTACCCCGAAATATATTATTTCACATACAGTGACATTCGACATTCAAGTGCCAGTGTTTTCTGTCTTTTGTTCAAGTTTTTTAAACTTTCAAAGAATCATTTTTAGGCTTATAATAATAAATATTTGTCAAAATCTTCAATAAATATTACACAACCAGCAGCAAAAAGTATCTAAAGTCTGTTGTGTGCAAATAGTTTTCTTCTCAACTATCATTCCATGGTCCCAAATAAAATTTAACAATCTACTTCTTGACTGGCTGCATTCAAAAATCTCCGAGAGACAAAATAAAACTGGGAGGTTGAGGACACGCACACAAGACATACATACATACACACCTACATACATACACACATATATACATAAATTCTCCGAATGTGCCATAAAATAAGTGCTTTGTAAATATGGGCAAAATGTACAAGAGTCTAAAGCTATACTAATTGAAATAGCACCTTAACAGATGACCTCGATACTGTGACGTGGACCTACTTATAAGTTTTAGAACAAGGCACAACATGCTTGAAAATGTATTGCACTTTAAGAAATTTTTGCCAACTTCTTACGCCACTGAAAAGATCTGTTTCTGAAGATCATTGCATTCTGGCTACAAAATCAGTACAGAGTTCCAAGTGGGAGAGGCATTTTCAGCGGTGGACAATCATCTTCGGCCAAATTTACCACCAGAGACTATAAATACAATGGAAACCTATGCAACCAAAATACACTAAAATTGCACATAGAGAACACATATCTTGTGTAGTTTAGTACATATGTGCAACCTGTCTGATTTCAAGGATTTGTCAGTCTTAGATTTACAAAGTCTGCAAGTGTAAGCCATTTTAACATTTCAATGCAGCTTTGACAGCGCAATATGAATCTACATTTAAATTAAAGCCTGCTGCATAATCCTTCCTGTGTAAATTCCTTCTTGACCAAAAAACATCAACGCCAGCATGCATTTAAACACCAGAATCCAATGAGGCCTGTCGTGAGGCTTGGTCATTGCCATGGTCAGCCATTCTAACCTTTCAAATTTGTATGGCGGGCATAAAAAAGCTAATTAAATGATATCTCCCCCAAACAGTTTATCAAAGCTTTAAACCTTTCCTGTGATAGTCTGCCCACATTTGCCTAGCTTAGAATAAACTTCCTAAGCTTTAAAAGAGAAACTGCTGTATTTGCTTGAATTAACTTTAAGGGCTCTTTCAAAAATATTAATGGGGACGGTGATACATTCCACCTCATCATGACTGGAATGGCTTATTTAAAGAGTGTAGGTTTCTAAGTGCCTCTGCAGGATACAGTGAGCAAATGAGAACTTAGTAAAGGTTGGCCACAGAAAAAAACTATGCTTTAATGTTTTAAGATGATCCCGCAACCCCGAAGTCTGCAGGAATCAAACAATCTGAATGCAGGCTACTGTCTTGAAGTGTTTTTTTGTTTTTTCCCATTTATATTGATGGACGAACTGATGGTTCCCGTTGAAGTTGTATCACACCTGTGTGCCAACGTTTGATTTTAGGCCAAGTTTAGTAAATTAATTTTGTCAAAACAGTTGGTATCGTCAGCATTACTGATCCCACAGGACATCAAAGTAATAAGTTGTCTAAAGTTAACGTCACAGAACCTTAACAAACAAAACGATCCTTAGCCACAAACTTATAAATGCAGTTTGGGGTGGGACGAAAGCCGGAGGGGAAGAGTTAAATCCAAACTACAGCAATTAAGTCTTCAAACCAATTTCTGAATAGGGCTGCTGTTTTATTTCCTTTCGTTTTTCTTCTTGTGACTTTGAGCTCCCCTGAATTTTCAGGACAATCACTGCTGGTTATGTACTGCAAGTTCTTGAGGCTACACGATACAGTCTGGCTAAGTTACATGTGGTTTCCATATTAGCTTGTTTGTAAGGATGACTTTGCTGCAAAGCCGATTCAGTTGCCCCACCAGTCAACCCCTTGGAAGTCATAATTTCCTCCATATCCTTCACTGTTGTAGAAGCCTCCATAGCCACCTATCAAGAAAAATGTTTAAAGAGAGAAACATTAAGTCACCCATTAATACCTTTTCTTTTTTTTTCTCAAGTACTTTAATGTAAACCCAATCAAAGAAATCTAGTGTTAGAGTTTGTGTCCCTCAGAAATTAAATTTCCCCAATGAATGATGGTTTGAAAAAGAGGACTCCTAAGAAAAACAAAAAGCCCTTCCTCAAGGAAAAATTAACAGTACCTCCACCAAATCCTCTACTGCTGCCGTAACCACCTCCACCACGGCGGCTGCTCCTTGCATGACTACCACTGAAGCCAGAACTGCTGGAACCACTACTCTGTCGATAGTCTTTAGCACCAAATCCTCCAATGAATCTATTATTGTAAGCAAAAATATAGCATGGCACTGTAAGTATAAAGTTGGATTAAATAGCATATTCCTGCTTAAACTGCACAATTCCCAATTTCGTTTTTCAGATCAGTTCCATTATGTTCTAACGGGAACCTTATCATTCTTGTTCCACGCGTTCTAACAGAGTTTCTAAAGTACTCAGTAGTGAAGAACTGACGCTTAATTCCATGTCACCCTTTCTAATAATTACCCCTTGCCCAAAATGTTTATGTTTTATAGTCGAAAATAACTGTTTAACACGTTACTCGGGGAAAAAGTTAACTCTGAAAACTTACTGCCCCCCCCATAAGTAATAATGAGAGTGAAGGCTCACAACAGTGTGTACCTTTTAGATCGTCCACGATTGCCACCCTTGTGGTGGTGTTCATAAGCCATATGTTCCAACCAAGAAGGCACTTCTTGTTTAGCTTCTATAAGAAGATCCAACAAATCCTTTGTAATATTCACATTTTTTTCATTAAAGAATGAGGTGGCAAGGCCTACGGAGATCACAAAAAGTACATGAAGCTTCCATAAAGTAGCATGGTGTTCTTACATTCCTATATTCCTATATAAAATATTGTAAGTCAAAAACTAAAATACGACATTGTGATCTGCAGTTCAACCAAATCAAAGGGATGGAAAGAACAATTTATTTGGCTGATTAATCTAAAATTTTTCCTATGATATAAACGTTCTATTTTTAAGATTCTTTGTCAAATCCCTGCTGTATGCATCACAATTAAAAAAATAAAAATAAAAATAAAACTTCCTAACAAATCCTTACCCAGGTTTCCTACACGTCCTGTACGGCCAATACGATGCACATATTCTTCAATACCACTTGGCAAATCAAAATTGATAACGTGTCTCACATTTGAAATGTCCAGTCCTCGTGCTGCCACCTGAAAAATAACTTTTATTTAAAAAAAACACTATACAAACATGATTAATTAAAAAATTAAAATTTACATACAGCTGTAGCCACAAGAATTGGGCTTTTCCCCGAGCGAAACTGGTGAAGGGCCTCCTCTCGAGCTCTCTGTGATCGGTCTCCATGAATACAGGTACAAGCATATCCTTCACGGTGTAAGAAATCCTCCAGGGAATCTGCTCCCTTTTTGGTCTCTACAAACACTAAAATCAGTGAATCCCTCCCTGAAAAATCAGAAGGCTTTGTTTACTCATAATGAATTAGCATTGCTGGTTAACCTAAATATTAACTGGGTTAATTCTAGTCCTTGTGCTAGAATCAATCTTGGAGGCAATGCAAACAGACCCAATTGAAGTACACATTGTTCTAACCATGTCTAGAATGAGGAGAAAAGGCAGGGGGAAGGGACGGAAGAGATGTAAAGAGATTCTCCTTAATAGGGTCCTGTAACTGACACCGTTATTGTTATTCATAATTTTACCTGTTGCCTCCAACAGATCAAGCAGAAACGACCGTTTATCTAAGTCTTCCACCCAAATTACTCTCTGTATGATGTTCTCAGAGGTAGAGCCTACTCTGCCTACAGCCAAAAAGATATATTCATCCAAAAAGTCGCGAGCAAGCATCTGAAAAAGTGAGAAAAATACTCAATTATCTACTTCAGTACACAAATTATCTAAGGATAATGAAACAAATGTTCTCAGCAAAAATGGAAACATCAAACAATACCTGTATTCTTTTAGGAAAAGTAGCACTAAACATCACAGTCTGACGAACACCCTTTGGGAGCATAGCATCTTGTTCAACTATACGACGTATCTGAGGTTCAAATCCCATATCCAACATCCTATCAGCTTCATCCAACACTAAGTACCTGTTATAAAAAACCCTCAGTCGATCCTGGATCATTAGATCTGAGAAACTAATTACTTGGTATAGTTGCGTTAACTAATTACACGAATGTAGTCCCTCGATAAGGAAATATTCCAGAGTCACAATTTGATACATATGCAACAAACGCATACATGCATGCATGCACACACACGGGCACCCACCCACACACACACACACACACACACACACACACACACACAATCACGAGAAAAATGGCTCAAGATGACAACCAAATTAGCCATATGTCGACTGTTAAAACTTAGAGCCTCGATTAAAATTTCACTTAATCTTAAAAAGGTTAACTGCAATTTCAAAACTATGTGGAAAACTAAATTATCAAAGTTCAGGCAGTCCTAGTAACACACTACAGGAGTAATCAACTTCTAATACAAAAATAGGTGCATCCCATCTGAAAAACTGAGGTACCTGCAGAAGTCTAATGCAATCTTTCCTCTTTCCATCATATCCACTAGGCGTCCTGGAGTGGCTACTAACAAGTGGCATCCACGTTCTAAGTCCTGAATCTGCTGACCAATATCAGCACCACCATAAACTACACAAGGACGAACTCTAGAGCGGTACGAAAACTTTAAGAACAGAACATGTCAGTGGCCATAAAAACATCATTTGATCAATGAGAAACGCAATAATCGCTTAAATGAATATTTTACTTTTCTGGCTTCATCATAGATCTGTACAGCCAATTCTCTCGTTGGGGCTAAAACCAAGGAAATTGGATATTGCTTGTGGCACCCATACCTTCCTTTTTCCTGAAAAACAAAAATAATTTAAGCTTTCTGACCCAAAACTGTAATTCTTTTTAAAAATTTACCAGTTTCCTTTTCTAATGTGCAGATAACATCGACAAACTTATTTTCATTGGGTGAACCGGGTGAAAAAAAAAGTAAGGTGTAGCTGGCATTGTTTACAAAAGTCAACAGGCATTTACAAAGCCTTTTTAAAACAAACATGTCTTATTTTACAACAATACCTTTACCTTCACAGCCTTCAAAGCTTCTCCTGGACCGTCTGTATATATCTGACTCAGTATGGGCAAAAGAAATGCTGCAGTTTTTCCAGAACCTGAAGACAAAACACGGACTTATCATTTCTGAATATTAATTGTTGATAAAGCGTTCTCAATGCCCTCACATTACAAGAAAATTTTTCTTACTCCATTTCCAATTTTCTAGGATGTACAGTAAATTTATAAGGCAAACCTAAGAAGTAAAGTGCCTTCTGTGCTCTACTTTTAAACAGTACATTTTAATTTGTACAAAACACAACCGTTTTGTCTGAAAAGTGGCATCAATTTTCAGTTCAACATTTCTTTGTAGTGGCTATATAGTGCTGGAATGTAAAGCAGCAATCAGTAAACTTTACATCTGTACAGAGCTAACTAACAGCACATGGTTCTCGTAGGCCAGTCTCTACAAGAGAACGTCTTTTATCTGTGCCAAATCTCTGGCTAACCTCTACAGCACAGGCATTAACAAATGGGTATTTATATTTGAACATAGCTGTTGAAAAATAAACAAGTGCTAGGTTTGACATGAGGCTCCAGTCTGCTAACTCCTGTGGCGTTAACTGAAAAGGATGCAATTCTATTTCTTAAAGAAGGTATTCAAGCTGACAATTTGCCATGCGCTTCCTCAAGACGCCCAGATACAAATACGAGTCTCATCCCAAGGATCCAAAGGTCCAGACAAAAAAGGCACATCCCCAAGCTATCTCAAATGCTAAACACAGGATTCAGACATCCCTTCAGAACATACTACTTTTAAAGTAAGCCCAATTAGATAGTCTTACCTTTTACTTTTTATCAACTAAGCTTACCTGTCTGGGCACAAGCCATTAAGTCTCTTTTTCCCTTAATGATAGGAATGGCATGTTTTTGCACTGGAGTCGGACGAGTATAGCGAGTAAGCTCAATGTTCCGCATGATAATTTCTCCCATGTCAATATCACTAAACTGTCAGGAAATGTGGCCAGGTTAATCAAATGCAAGAAAATATAGAAGTAAACATGGCAGATATAAAATTGCTGTATCTTTTGCCATTTCTGTTTTACACTAATGGAAGTAACCACACTGTCTGTGATTTGGTTTACAGATGCTATGATTTCAGTTAAAGAATCATGGCAGTTTTTACAAAAATGGACGACTCCTGGGTTTAAAAAACTGAAAAAGCGTTTGGAGGCAGGCATGGTGGCTCATGCCTGCAGTGTTTCTTCTTTTTGAGACGGAATCTCACTCTGTGGCCGGGCTGGAGGGCAGTGGTGCAATCTTGGCCCACTGCAACCTCCGATGCCTGGGTTGATGGGATTCTCCTGCCTGAGCCTCCTGCGTAGCTGAGATGACAGGTGCGTGGCACCATGCCCGGCTAATTTGTGTGTTTTTAGTAAAGACGGGGTTTCACCATGTTGGCCAAAATGTCTCTATCTCCTGACCTCATGATCTGCCCGCCTCAGCCTCCCAAAGTGTTGGGGTTACAGGCATCAGCCGTCGTGCCCGGCCAATTCCAAGACTATTCTTAACAGTGACATTCATGTTTCATAATCCAACGGGTTTGCAGTAAGAACTTTAAGAGTCAAACAAAAACTTACATTTTCAATATGTGGAGGACAGTTACCGCCGGTTGCCTCTACTGGTATATCATCGTATTTCTCAAAGTTAATCCCCGTGTTTCCTCCAGAAAACAGTTCCCTGAAATCAAACAATTATTACATGTACATTAATTGTTAAGAAACTCATGGCTTAGTATAACATGTTTTTCAAAAACTTACCGCTCTAAGCGTTCACTTGGTGGAAGTGGTTTTGACCAATCATCTTCATCTGACTTGTCATACCAACGACTGCGTCCACTCCGTTCATATCTACCAAAGCCAGTTCCGTCACGATTGCCAATATCATCATATTCACTCCTTCTGCTATCATCAAATCTGAATGGCACGAGCAATGAAAACACACAATTTAGCCGATACCGCATTATCACCTCTCTAGAAATGTCCTGGGGTATCAGCTGAGTTACTGAACACAACCACCCTTAAACGACGTCAGCAACTCAGCGTTTATCTCGTGTGAAAGAAGCCCCTCTAATTAACCAGTGCTTATGTGTAATTTATGTCTTCATTTTTAAGAAAATCATAAAAATTTGTATAAAATTACACAGCTTAGACCTCACATGCTAAGAATTAGGTTTAGATACTTATAACTAGTGCATACTTTACAACTTCATTTAAAGTACTATCATCTAAATATATTTACTGGTAGAAAAGCAAGAATAACACATGAAATTTTTAGATATAAAATTTTAGATATAAAAAAGTAGAAGGCATGTGACAAGAGAACATCTTTTAGAGTTTTATTACAATTTGTGAAAAATAGAAGACAGGATTAAATTCAATTATTAGGGTTTTTTGGGGTTTTTTTTGTTTTTTTTGAGATGGAGTCTTGCTCTGCCACCCCGGCTGGAGTGCAGTGGTGCGGTCTCAACTCAGCGCAGCCTTGCCTCCTGGGTTCAAGTGACTCTCCTACCTCAGCCTCCTGAGTAGCTGGGACTACAGGCACGTTCCACCACAGCCAGCCAATCATTCTATTTTTAGTAGAGATGGGGTTTCACCGTGTTGGTCAGGCTGGTCTCGAACTCCTGACTTGTGATCCTGCCACCTCGGCCTCCCAAAGTGCTCTGATTGCAGGCATAAGCCAACCCACCTGGCCCCATCTCGACTAAGAAAAGAATAATCAGCCAGCCAGGTGGTGGGCGTCTGTAGTCCTAGGTACTTGGGAGGCTGATGCAGGAGAATCACTTGAACCCAGGAGGTGGTGGCTGCAATGAGCCCAGATCGCACCACTGCACTCCAGCCTGGGCAGCAGAGCAAGACTCTGTCTCAAACATACACACACACACACACACACACACACACATACATACACATACACACCCAAAGTGTTTAAAGCTGTCACAGCCGGTATCATTTAAGTTGAAACAGACTTCATTGTGTCAAATAGTGTATTCATCTAATTTAATAAATTACTTTTAGTAAAGACCTCTTAGACCGCTAACAGAACAACGAGTAAACCAACATTCTGCTTTAAATCCATGAGTAGTCTGTTAAACACATGCTCAAGGACACTTGAAAGTATGAAGAATGAGAACTTGCCAAATTAAGTTTCCTAAATTGCTACGGTATAAACATACAAGCCGAGATTTACCTTCCCCTTGAACCACTTCCACGGTCACTGAAATAACCAGACCTTCCTCTTGACTCTCGAGACCCAAAACTGCTATATGCATCCTTATCTCTGCTGCAACTCCAACCTGAACTGTCTTTATCAGAGAATCCTTCAATAAAAAAGCAAAAATTAAATGCTGACGAAATTTTTACATGATTTATATCTTCCCAAATATGAAGTCCTTCACACGTAGTCTTCCTTTACCTTATCCTTGTGGGAACAAAGGTCAACAGGTCCCATAAGCAAAAGTTTTACAAGCGTTAATGTTTTCTTCTACCGGAGACGATTAAATGAGGCAAAGTAATCTCATGACCTGAGAACAATGGAGCCTGCATATAACATAGCTATGACACTAACACTATACTATCACACCACAACAGTAATTGTTTTCATTCACCTTGTAAGTATAAATTTTATGTATCCAAAATGTAAACCTACTCCAATGAAATTATTTGCCACGTCTTTTTTTAAGCTATGACTGATTAGGAGGCATTTCAAACTCCCTAATTTTTAAGCTCAACTTGTGGCTAGTGCAAGCCCCTTGTGTTAGTTTCCTAGTTATGATCCATCGTTGACAAATCCTGAATAACGTAGCGCAAAAGGTGTTAAGCCTAAACATGTGGCATAAGCGATGTGTAATACACATTTTGGGAAGGCCCAGCTGAAGATTACGTCAGGGACTGTGGGTTGCCTAGGGAAAAGTTTGAACTAAGTGAAGAGATCTACATAATCAGAAAAAAATATGTCAGACCTATTAAGACAGGGAATTTCTAACTACTCTGAAAATTTCAGGCATGGGACAGTCAAGATACGGCAAATTAGGTTTTCCCATTGACATAGCTCTCAATTTGAACATCGTAACCCATTTCTTAAGTCACTATTACATCCTACTACCTAAAAACAACGTTTCTCAATCTATTCACATAAAGTTATTTGAATACAATCTCGCATTCAGGGATGGTCAAGACTCTATTTTAGTATTAACAAGTAAAACTAAGTTGTTATAAACGTCATCATGTGCTACACTCATACATGTACTACTGGCCTACCAAGACTGCAAATGTAACGGTGTAATCTTAATACCCTCAGTGAGAATAAACATACACTTGAGCTTAAAAAACCCTCATTATCACGTTCTTTCATTGTCTACAAACTGATAAAGGAATGACAAGAGTAAACTCCCTCCACAACCGCAAACTTGCTTGAGGGCTTACCTAATTCAAACATGTAATTAAATGTTTAAGGTTACAAATT